AAATTCCAGTGAAATATATTTATGTTTGTGGTTGTAATGTGACAAAATATGGAAAAGTTCAAGGGGTATGAATACTTTTGCAAACCACTGTATATAGCACTTTTCATAGATTTGAAATCCCAAAGTGTTCCATAATAAAAGCAAGCAAGACATATTTAAGAACGAACACCAAAATTGCAAAAAGTACTAATAAAACAGTATATAGAATACACACAGTAAAAGCTCTAACAACTTAACTAAAAGCCTGTTTGTAAAAAAACATCTTCAGGTGTTTTTTAAACGTTGATGAAATCAGGTATGTGGACAGATTGGGGCAGTTCATACCAGAATTGGAATGCAACTGACTGGAACGACCAATCCCGAGATTTAAATTGTGCGGGGTACCACCTACAACCACAGACCTGATGAACCTGTGGTGTGTAGAGAGCTGTATTAAATCCGAGATAAAGGGGGATCAAATGACATTAAAGTTTCTGAGGATGGACTGGACAAATGGACCTAAAACACCAAGGAATTTTTATTTGAGGAACCTTATTTTCCAGCGCAATAATTAAAGTTTATTCTTATCAAATTCAGTTGCAAGTAGTTGTCACTTAACCACTGTTTAATGTTAGCTAAACAATTTGTTGACTCTATGAAACTCACATTTTTTTTGAATAAACAGTAGCTGATGTAAAGCAGATGTTGCACATTTGTAAAATGCTGAAATGCTTGCTCAAAAGGGAGATTATTAAGAATAAATAAAATAGGTCCTAATACAGAACCCTGAGGTACACCACAAAACACCACTGTCTTCTTTTCCCAACCTATCCTAATATTTTTGTTTATTAATAATTTTAACCACATCAGAAAAGGAGATGAAGTCTATTGTAAGTAAAGATTTTTATATTTAAATAAAAATGTGAGGTGTAGAATGTACTTGGGATGAAAATATGTCAAAGTTGCCTTGAATCTGAGGCCAAATCTCAGTTTTTAACAGTTTTTCATTTTGATGTTAGTGAATCTCGTTAAAGAGGGTACAGCTAAGAGGAGGAGCAGCAAGAAGGAGGAAGTATGGACTTTTTCCACTTTATTTACTGACGTGACTGTGAAGCAGTTTGGCAAGATGGCCGTCTAGTTTGTCACTCCTCAAGCAAATAAAGTAAAATTCAAATTTTAGATGCAATGGATTCCTGCTGAATCGTATTTAATTAAAGGCCTTTACAATTTATGGTTTTGATATTGCTTTCCTCTTGTTTCTTCAGGAGTTGATTTTAAAATGAAAACAATCGAAATTGATGGAACCAAAGTCCGAGTACAGATCTGGTATGTTGTATTGTGATGTTTACAAATCCAATTGAACTTGAACTGACTAACCTAACTAACCGACTGTTTTGCGGATGTTTGTTTTATCTTCTGTGCAGGGACACAGCTGGACAGGAACGGTATCAAACCATCACGAAACAGTACTACAGGCGAGCGCAGGTATAAGGAGCCAGGAGTGAAGTTCTTATCGAGTAAAGCTTCTTTCTTTAATCAGGCCCGTTTCCTCTCGTGCAGGGTATTGTATTTGTGTATGACATCACGAACGAGCCGTCCTTCCAGCACATAGCGAAGTGGGCCAGTGATGTGGATGAAGTAAGACTTGAATAGCAGTAGTGCTGCTTTTTGTTTCAGTTCACTGGCTGCACATGATCGTCCAGTTTTATTGCATTCATTGTTGAAGTTTTAACTGATTARCGTTGAAGCAAAAGCACAACCATCATTCTGTTTGTCTCATACTTTGTTTTTGTTTGTTTGTTTTTTGAAGTTTGCTCCAGATGATGTGCAGACAATTTTAGTAGGAAACAAGGCTGATGAGGAGATGAGGAGACAAGTGACAAAGGACCAAGGATACAGGGTTCGGTTTACCCCTATTTTGTTAAAGACATATTTTTATTGCGTTTTTTTAAGACAGCTTCCAATTTGAATATATAGAAAAACATTAATACTTGGTAATGTTTTTGCAATTCAGCACCATAGAATTTGACTGATTTGAGCTATTTGGGGCAGATACCGATGCCAATCTGAACCTTTTCAAACTTTTAGCTAATATTATTTTTAAGTCTCGTCTTAAAACACATTTGTACTCACTGGCCTTTAATACAGTGTGAGACTTGACTTTCATTTCAGTGGTTTTGTTTTGTCCTATTATATTTTTTAAATTTTTTTTATTTTTGCTTGTTTTTGTGGTCCAGTTTAGTCTTGTTACTATTTGTATTGTGTGCAGCAATTTAGGCAAAGACAGTTGTTTTTATAATTTCTTTATAAATAAATTAGATTGTACATTTATTTTATTTTAACAAAGTATAACAATAATTGCTTATTTAAAATATACATATCTTAGAAGAGGTTGTACATTTAAAATGACACATGGAAGAGCATTAATGCTTAAAACCTAAAAAACGAGACTGATATTGGCCACTTATGGGCTAAATGGCCAAWATCAGTCAATCAAACTGGTTTATTTCCACATTTTGTTATAGTGAAAAGTCTCTTTTAGCTTTTGTCCAAGCCAGACTTATAAAGCTCATATCTGTGTACTTGTAGAGGGAAATAAAGCCATAAAATAATACCTTTCAGGTTTTCAGCCATATCCACCTCTTTTTCCAGTTAGCGGAAAACTATGGGATGGAGTTCTTTGAGACCAGTGCTTCCACCAGCAGCAACATCTGTGAGGTACGAAATAAATCSGTCACACATACGGTATACTTTGTGGTAGATTTTACAGAAACTGATTTGATTTGCTTTTATTTTGTGTGTCCACCTTGCTTGCAGTCGTTCATTCGTGTGACAGAACTGGTGCTGCAGGCTCACAGAAGAGACGTGGACAGCCTGCTGGGATCTCTGGACGACTATTTGGACAACGCTGTCCTGGAGAAAGAGAAGAGGAGTCAGGATAATGATGCTCAGAGGACGTGTGGCTGTTAAACACAAGGAAGTCTTTCTCAGTGCCATARCTAGTAGCTTAAAGATGTAAATGTAATCGCTCCTCCTGTGACACTACAGACTCTGAACAGGAGATTTCTAGATTACTTTCAACTTTTGAAAACAACTTGTCGGTAAATACACTAAGTAGCAGCCGGCTGTTTGATGGCACAATCTGGAAATCTTGCTACCAGACAAGTATTCAGATCGGCACCACACATCTGCTTCCTCAGTTTTCAGATCATCACAATGTTACAATCAGGGTTTGGCCAAAATTCATCAATTTATCAATGTGGGAGGATTTTAGTTTAATTGGTGCTCAAAGTGGAGTTTGTAWCCATAAAATACTTTTTGCATTGTTAACAATGATGGTGACAGGAACACTCACCAGAGCACATGCATAAATTATTTAGGTTTGAAAACCCAAACTAATCAGGAGAGGGTTAATTTACACGATGGACTCATTTCCTCGAAAGCAGTGCAGTGTGCCACARCGACTGATCCTAAAGCAGGAACCTTGTTTCGATGATGTTCCAAAGAATATATTTATACAGAAGCTAATAAATTACAATTTTCATTCTGAAAAAATTAAAAAGGGTGACGTGAGCCTCGCTGGGTGATTCAATTAGAACTGAATTAAAGGAGTCAGGTGCACGGGGAGTTCAGGCACGGGGTCCATTCATTTTTCATCACAAGCTGGGAGACGCAGGTGATCACTGTTCAATATTTAATGMCTTAGAAAACTAATACGTGTCATTGGAGAAATCAAAAACCCACACATATCCGGTGACACATGTTGATTTAGACTTTAAAATTCAGATTCTTATGAATAACTAAACACAATCAGAGGACAGGAAATATATTTTGGAAGATGGATGTTGTTTATTACTGCGAGCTTTAAAAAGAAGTGAGCGATGAGCTTGTTYGGCGTTACATCAGTGTGTGAAATTTGTGGAGTGTAGCGTTTCACTCGGAGGTCAGGTTCCTGCAGGGCCATCTGACACTCGTGAAGAGTAACTTTGTGCTTTGAATGAGTCATGTGACCCGGCGTCAGGATACCGTCGCATCCAAAGGACCAAAGCGCCTCCAGTGCAGCAGCAAAGTAGCCGATATGACGTTCATCGCAAAGACCTTTTATGATCTGAGGGCCACCTCTCTGGAGGGGGACTCGGTGGACTTCAACGTCTTCCGGGGACGAGTGGTCCTCATCGAGAACGTGGCCTCGCTCTGAGGCACCACCACCCAGGACTTCAGCGAGCTCAACCAGCTGCAGAGCAAGTACCCCCATCGGCTGGTGGTCCTGGGCTTTCCCTGTAACCAGTTTGGATACCAGGTGAGCTGAGCTTTACGTTTTCACTCAGTCACATTTGTCTGAATCTCTTCTGTAGGCCAGTGATGCATGTGTGTAGTCGGTCTATTAATTGTATATTGTCTCATAAACTAATAAACAGACTTTGATGACACTTTCAGCAAATAATTATTGAATTCACATCTACAACTGATTAACTTTTGAGGCCAACTTGAATTACGATGGCTGCCAAAGCCAACTGACTTGCAAACACAAAGATGAATTAAATCCTTTAAGGATTTAATTGATCCAATGCTTTTATAATCATTTTCCAGATTATTCCATACTTATACCTTTTACTGAAGTGCATCTGTCCTTCAAATTTGTTCAGATTTTCGGTTTAACAAAYACTGGTAATCCCTTCAAATTATTGCAGCTTYCCCTCATAAAATTAGATTGGATGTTTGAAGGTAACACRTTTTTATAARCTTTATACATAGCCTGCAGAATATGATATTCAACCAACTCATAAAATTTTAATAATTGTAATTGTTGAAACAATTTCTTCAAATATTCAAATCATATTTCATGAAATTGAGCAAAAAGTTCATTTCAAGGTTTGACAAAAATGKCTACTACTACTATTTCTAAACAAAAGATGAACTTAGTCCAAGTCTGCCAGGAAAGGCAGAGGATGATGGGTTTCTTCAAGGAATTCTGTTCATTTAAAGGTGGGGTATTATGTATTTTCCAGGCACATATTCAATTCTATACCACAAACACAAAACTATGTTACCTTAAGTTATTTTGAAAAAGCTGTATATGACAAAAATAAAATTGACTTTGCATCAAAGCCTATCTAAACGCCTTGAAATTAGCCTCCGTCTCTTTAAGAACCTCTTACTGGTTCAACACTTCCACTTCATTACGTCTGCACAACAATGCTTCAGGGGAGGGGGGCTCTGTGGGGCGGGAGCACGGCTGCRGACTGAGCTCCAAGGAGGAGCTTTGTACAAATAGGCGGTGCTTTGYACCAGCAAGTGTTTAGGCAGATCCACATGGCTACCACAGGAGATTCAAAGATTTCTCAAACKTGCATGCATGAGTCAAAGCAACACTGGGTATGTTTTTGATGAGGGAATGACATTTGATGTTGCATAATACCCCTCCCCTTTAACTGGAATTAGATTTTRCTGCAAGAAATCTCTCCAATTGAATGGAAACAAATCACATTCTGCATTCCTCAGTGTCACTGTGAAATGTGTTCTGCAGGAGAACTGTACCAACGGCGAGATTCTGAGTTCACTGCAGCACGTGCGTCCAGGTGGTGGCTTCAAACCCAACTTCGGTGTCTTCGAGAAGTGCGACGTCAATGGAGAAAACACACATCCGGTCTTTGCCTACCTGAAAAACAAGCTCCCCTATCCCGACGACGACCCCWGCTCCCTCATGCAGGATCCCAAGTTCCTGGTCTGGAGTCCCATCAGCAGGATGGATATCTCCTGGAACTTTGAGAAGTTCCTCATCGGGCCAGAGGGGGAGCCCTTTAAGAGATACAGCAGAAAGTTCCCCACCATTGAAATAGAGCCTGACATTCAAAGACTTCTTAGATTAACTAAGGCCTAAAAATAGCCTCCGCCTCCTAATGACTTTCCATCTGTAACTGTCAAAGTCGACACTCTGCCCTCCACACGTTAAAGCCTTAATGAATGAGGGTGATATTCTGAAAAGCTGAGGGGATATCGTCTGARACCTTTTAAGTGCTTAACAACTGTGGATGTATAGATTCTTTGTGTTTTTCAAAGTATATGCAAAGAACACCATTTTAAAGAACTCGTTCATTAGGATGGCGTAGCTTTGCATCTTGTTTGTTTTTTTTTGTCCTGTGCTTGAGTTGCCAGCAGATGGTGCTACTCTTCTAATCTTGCAAACAGCAAACTTCAGTCCTGCTTTTATGAATTAACATTCCAAACACACACTGACAAATTAAAATAAAACCCTGGAAACCAACACTTGTCTCCAGTTAAGGCGCTTTCTTTTCGGACCATAAATTCAGTAAAAGTTGCTGTGAAGATGTGCTACACTGGTGCAAATAAATAGATGCAGTGAATAAAATGATATGACTTGAAATACCGCAGGAAGAATGTGGAATTAATTTTAACGCCCTCTTGTCTCTGAGGTCTCCTTTGAACAATAAATTACTGGAGCTGCAAGTGAAATTTGCTGATACCAGTAGTCTTTGCAGATGCAGGAATGCAGTACTGCCAAAAGACAAGTGCTAAATCAGTCGTTTAGGAGAGCATCAACCTTGCTTATGTGTGAAAAGCTGTCATCCAGCTAGTTAGTTTTCTCTGTACAGAGGGGCTTTGTTTGCAGGGTCTGCAGATTAGCATTGGATTTCCTGCACATTCGCTCACATCCTCATCAGCTCATGATGTCAGAGCCACAGGCAACATGGGCCTGGCAGTGCCCTAAAGTATTCAGCTGTGGGGGCACAAACACCCAAGTTGTTGACACTTCATACAGCTTTCATTTTGTAGCACATTACTTTTACAGTGTTTGGTTTTACATGATGCACAAAGACTTGTGATTAATATATRTTTCCCATAGCTCTGCTGGTCTATGTTTGATTGTCAGATGATTACCTTTTTTAGTAAGGCAAATACTAGAGAAGATAATTTTAATACTGTGGAAGATGTGTCAAGGGCCTCAACTGCAAACAGTATGCAGAAAAAATCACCAAAGATCCTTTATGTTGAAGAGATGAGTTTCTCTGTGTAATCTGAAAAAATTGAACTATGAACTGTGGTGTGTTAAACGAATTCTGACTATTTCTGAATGGTAATTTTTTAATTTGTGTACTCTGTAGTCATAGATCAGTAAATGAAGCTTTTGTGCCTCAGGCCTTATTCCAGTTCAAATGGGTTTCCCAGGAAGTAACACTGTGACAAAATCAATACAAAATCACCTAAATTCGGTGTTACATCGATGAAATGCTAATTTTATAAAACATAACAGCATCTGGTCGTAGCAAACTACCTACAACAAATAAAAAAAAGCTTTACATCAAAAGTAAATTAGACAAAGCAGCAACCGAAACATTTTAGCTGTCCTCCGTTAGTTTCCGTAGTTTTTATTCCATGTTTTCAACGCAGAGTGGTAGCTCTTCTGGTTGTTGTTTTTCCCCCACCTTGTGCTCTACAGGTGAGCCCTGTTGCCACGGCAACGCTTTGCTTTCTCCCCCTCGGAATTTTTCTCGCGAGACTCCAGAGCAGAGAGAGAGAGAGAGAGAGAGAGAGAGAGAGAGAGAGAGAGAGAGAGAGAGAGA